GGATTGTTCACACAACAGCGGTATGGTCCACTTCTCAACTCTTAATTGTTGCACTGACTTATATATCTGAATTTGAATCAATGCCAGTGCTTTGTTGCTGCAACTTTAAAGTAAGTCTCAGTCTAAGTACTGCAACTTTAGAACACAGTTCCTGCCTCTAAAGACTCAAAGACAGGGCCAGACTGACTATGGCTCAGCAGGTAAGAGTTTGTTTTGCAAGCATCAGGACCTGAGTTTGGATCCTAAACACTTACATAACAACAAAAACAAAAATCAGGCTTGGCTGCACGTGCCTACAACCTTAACACCGGAGACCAGAGTCAGGCAAACACTGATCTGTCATCACATTGCATTTTCTAGGATGTCATGTATGTGAACTCATAAGCAAACTGTTCTCTTCTTCTAATTTTATTAACTCAGCATAATCATTCTGAAAAATATCCACACTGTTGCGTGTATCAGCAGTTTATTCTTATTTATTATTGAGAGCTAGGGGTACAGTGCAGGTAGAGAATTAGCCTGGCTCTGGGTTTGATCCAAAGCCTCTTAGCTCTTTCCCCAACAAATCCTATTTACTGTTCAGTCAATTCCTATTGCCTGATAGGCTGCTTCTCACTTCTCCACAGGACTGGCTGGCAGACACTGGTTTTGTTTCTGTTCAGGTTCTGGCTATACTGAATACAGCTTTTATGAATATTGGTGCACAGGCATTTGCATAGATATATGTTCTTATTACTGTAGACTTTAGATGCTGTGGAAAGAATGGTGAAGCAACATGGCAGGTGAGGCTTGGATGTGGTCTGTCCCGTAATGGTTCACATGGTAGAGTCCTGGCCTCAGTTTAACAATGCAAAGGTGAAATGGGAACTTGAAGAGACAGGGGGAGGTCTCAAGGTCAGTGGGGGCACAGTCATCAGAAAGAATTAAGGAACTCTCCTGAGTCCCTGTGCTCTGTGGAGGTGACCTGTTTTAAGACCCGACCCCTGTACTGCTCTCTGACTTCCTGTTTTGACATGTGATCTCTTCTCCCACGCATGCTCCTCCCACTGCAGCATCAATCATAAAGGTCCTTGCTAGAGGCAAGTCAGTTAATTTGGCACCTGCCTTTGAGTCTCTGGAGCCAGAAGCTGAACCAGAAGCTGTTCTTCATGAAGCCATTAACCCAGGTGTGGTGGTGCATACCTGCATTCCCAGCACTTAGGAGGTAGAGGAAGGAGGACCAGAAGTTAAGGTCATCCTCTACCACATAGTGAGTTTGAGGTCAGCCTGGGCTACCTGAGATCACATATCAAACAAAACAAACCAACCAGCCAAACAAACAAAAAAACAAAAACAAAAAATCCTAAATAAATAAACAGTGTAAAGTCAGTTTGCCTCAGGTATTTTATTATAACAAAACATATGTTATAGATATATATTTAAAACATATACACGTCTAACATTTCAAATTCTGTTTTATCATACCATTGCATCCAGATTATGAATCATCACAGAGAAGAAGCTAAAGGGTCTGTGCCTTACTGAGCACATGCACTCTTTCCATGGGGATCAGTCATTCATCAAACACCACTGAGTACTGCTGAGGTCAATGAATGGATTAGGCATGAAGGGTATGTCAATGAACAAGACAGCTTTGGTTCCCACATTCTAGAAGAAAAGAAATGGGCACTACACAGCAAAGCTCTGAGGTAATGACCTCCTTGTTTCTTAAAAGAGGTAGTAAGTCATCTAGCCTTGGACTGGAAGCTTCTTTGAGATACCCACCCCTGAGAGGAAGATGAGAAACTAACAAAACTATAATCCCAACAGACTCTGCTCAGTGCCTAGGGCTCTGAACCAGTTCCCCTAGGATGCCATTTTTTTTAAGCTTTCTTATTTATACAGCATTCTGCCTGCACACCACGCTGACTTTATTTACTTAGTTGAGGCTGTTCCTAACTGCTGCATGAAAATTAACTGTAGGCTTTGGAGTAGAAGACAGCACTTAGAAGCAGCGGTCTCCACCTTCTGAATGCACACTCAGCCGTTCATCCCAGTCATAGAAATACTCTGAACAAAGAAGCCAAACAAGCAACAGTCTCACAGACCCCGGGAGAGCCATGATAAGCACTGCAGCTAGAGGAAGGGTGGTGGTGTGACTGTGGCTTCTGCCAAGTGCTTCCTGGCCTGTCTGTGTGGCAGGCACTATGCAAGGTTCTCCTTGGAGGGGGAAACTATCATTGTCACTGTAGGAAGGAACAAGCTGAGTTTCAAGTTGAGTTTCAGCTCAACTAGACTTCCTTCACATTAACCGAAGACAGTGACCAAGTAGACTCTGCCTGCCTGGGCAACATCTTTGAAGATTCTTGTTTTTACTTCACTTTTAGAAAACAAAAACAGACAAACAAAATCCTGAGCAAACAGACAGTTCAGGACTGTTGTACCAATAAGGAGAGATTCCTCTTTTGCCCAGCTTTTCTAAAGAAACATTTTACAATTTCTTTCTACAACGGTGGGGAAAATGGTGTTTTAGTTAAGGTTTCTGCTACTGGGATGAAACACTATGATCAAAGGCAAATTGGAGAGGAAACAATTTATTTCACTTTACAGCTTGTACTCCACCATCCAGGGAAGCAAGGAAAGGAACCTGGAGGCAGGAATTGATGCAGGAGGAGGCCAGCCACAGAGGAAGCTGCTTACTGGCGTGCTCCTCATGGCATGCTCAGCCTGCACACAGGACCAAGAGCCGGGGATGGCACATCCCACAATGAGCTGGGCCTTCTCACACCAAGCACTGATCAAGAAAATGCACCACCTGGTAGCACACAGGCCAATCTGGTCGAACATTTTCCTATTTGAGGCTCTCTCTTCTGAAATGACTCTAGAGTATATCAAGGTGACATAAATCTGGCCAGCACACATGATACAACAATGTCACTCATATTCTAGGTATAATGACCTATGCCACTTCCTATGAATGAAAGTAAAACCAAAAGATGTAAAACAAAACAAAACAAAACAAAAACAACAACATCAACAAAAAAAATCAGGCCCTGCCAGATACTTCCCTGCTTCTCCCTGGCTGAACAACCTGACCAGAGTGTCACATGATAATCCACCTCAGAATGGCTTTTTCTCATACTCAAATGGGCCTATATTTAAAAGCAACACAAAATGGAGAAAACTTAGCTTTTAATTTTTGGTAGTATAGGTGTGTGGGTTCCTTTTTCTTCCCCTTAAATCAATCTTTAAGAGCTTCAAAAGAAATAGACATTTTTGCAAAAATTACGGCTGCCCTGGATAAATTTTCTTTCTTCCTTCTTTCTTTTCTTTGCTTTTGGAACAGGTTCTTACTGAGTGGCTCTGCATGTCCTTAATTTGCTATGTACAAACTGAGAGATCCTCATGCCTTTGCCTCCCTGCCTCTTTTTCCTCCAGAATTAAAGATGTGCCCTACCATGGCTGGCTTAATTTTCATTTCTTAAGAACCCCCAATGAAACACATCCTGAGAAAACCAAAGAAAATGGTTCCTCTCCCACAAAGACAGCATGACCATGGGATAAATCTCTGCACTGTCCCCTGTGCCAGCTGAAGCGAGATTTGTGCACTCCACTGGGCTTTGTCAGATGTGAGCCTTTGCTGTTGCCAGCATGCATCTCACACACATCCTCCCTGACAGGCCTTCGTCAGCTCCCACTGCTGTGCGCCAGGCTTCATCTCTGGCACTTTCCCCCAGGGAGACCTCTCCTGCTCCATGCTTAACCCCTGAACTCAGCCTAATCCATCAGCTGCCCAAAGGAGCAGTGACAGAGACAGGCAGCTAGTCCGTCCATGTAGAGCTCAGAGAGCAAGCCATCTTATTTCACTTTACAGCTTGTACTCCACCATCCAGGGAAGCAGGGAAAGGAACCTGGAGGCAGGAATTGATGCAGGAGGAGGCCAGCCACAGAGGAAGCTGCTTACTGGCGTGCTCCTCATGGCATGCTCAGCCTGCACACAGGACCAAGAGCCGGGGATGGCACATCCCACAATGAGCTGGGCCTTCTCACACCAAGCACTGATCAAGAAAATAAACCACCCGGTAGCACACAGGCCAATCCAGTGGAGCATTTTCCTAATTGAGGCTCTCTTTTCTGAAATGACTCTAGCGTGTGTCAAGGGTGCCTTCCAAACACTTGCCAGTGCTCCCACTTCTAAACTTACTCAAGTTTTTACTGCTGTGAAGCCAGGTGGTGGAGGGCAGAGGAATGCTATGCTTGGAAACATCCATTATATTGTTCAGTGCTATAGGTAGACTTTAGAAAATATCCCCTGGGGTTGGGAGTTCCTTGTGGGGCTGAGGCGTCATGTGACTGACGTAGCTGGCCTGAAGCAGGGTAGAGGCCTGTCCAAACTGCGAAAATCTTGTCTTGAGACTGGCTGAAATAGAACCAGTTCCTCCCTGTCTGAGCCTCCATGTCCTGCCACAGGTAACCTTATGAGCCCCACCTCTGCCACCCTTGAGGTGATCATGTAGCCTGGCGGCCAGGTTACAGGTTAAACTTCCTCTCTCCTTCCAAGGTCATGTCCAGCAAGACCTGGAATTCCTCTTCACACAATAAGGCATTCCCAGCACCATTGCCTTGGTTCTACCCAATGATTTACACTCACCCCACAGCCTCTACCCCCTCCCCAAAGGTTTAAATAGCCTTTGTTTCTCAATGAAGCCTGCCTCCCCCAAACTCCGTTGTCATTGTGAGTCTGTTCTCATTGTGTTCCCTGGAACCTGAGGTCTCACTTTCTTTCTCAGGCTACCGGTCTGGATCTGATCGTGGGCAATGATGCCCTTAAGAAAGGGGTATCAGAGTGAGAAGGACAGTTCCCAACACTGGGTATAGTTGTCATTATGGAGTTGGGCTTCCCTGGGACTTAAAAGAAAGCTTTACAGACCACTCTCTGGCCCATGACAGACAGATTAGCAACCACACCTCTAGAGAATGAAAAGCTTAGCCTTTCAGTGAATTGCTGAAAAGAGCCTCACCTCATAACCAAACTGCAGCTCGTCAGAGGTCAGCATGATGATGTCATCATCGATGGCCAGGACAGCCTCTGTCTCAATTTCATCGTAAGGGAAGAAACGATTACTCAGCTTGTTTTCTGTAGTCCTCACAACTTTCAGGGGAACACGGATTTTGGGCCAGAGAGATTCTGAAAGAAGAAGAAAAAAAGAGCTCTTTACCACTCACCTCGTTTTGTGAGGAGCCAAGCATCCTGCCCTATCACAGCCAGGAAGACGCAGCTTCCACCAGCTCATGTGGAGAGGTACCAGTAGGGCTGAGGATGTTCTCACCAATGCACCAGCTTCCACAAGCCTTTATGGAACTACCAACTCTCAATTGGCTCCAACTACCAACTGGGAACACAAGGACAGAATGTTCAGATCACCAGTCTCCACACCTTGGCTTTCTTACCTGAACTCCCCCACTCCCCCCACCCGTCAGACACTCTGCAAAGTGCTTCTGCACTAGTGCACCCAGCTCAAAACTGGCCTGAAGGTCTGCTAGGAAACTCAGCTCCTACTGGAGGATGCCTGCCATCCCCTGTGAACCATGGCTACCCATGGATGGAACTCACCTGAAGAAACACTTCACCGCCCCCTCTCCCCTACGACTAACCAGGCTCAGTTTCTCAGCATGACCAATTTATAGAGCAAGTATCAGATTTCTAGGTCTGATTATGTGGGATTTCATAGTATTATGAAAACAACAACCTGTGACTCTTCTTGTCCCACCCCCACTTTACTATGAAATGACTGGGGCAACTCAGCCATGAGCTCATTATTTCAAATACTGCATTTAGCGAAGCACAAAGTCAATGCTTTGTCGGTCACTATGTCCATATGTCCACAGACCCCAGGTTCTTCACACAACACTTGTTAAGTGAGATCAGGAAAGCTAAGCATGCTGCTTCCCCCAAAGTCGGCCATACAATCTTGGGAAGATCTAGTCTCAGCCACTTGTAAGTGACCAAAACAGACGAAGATGCAAGCCAGACGGCAAGTCAAAGAGAAAACCTGGTCTGACCAGGGGTTGAGTATCTACACTCAGCAGAACACAAAGGAATGGAGCAATACAAACAAATAATGCATTAGTGGGGTGCCCCCAGGAGTCTCAGCAAGGGCCTGTGTAACAGAGGCCTTGTAGTTAAGGAAGATGCTTCCAATTTTAAATAAGCCTGTGTCACAGGGCATAAAATGGCCAACTAAAAAAAAATAAATGTGTTTACAAAGGGGATGGACCCAAAGAAATGACCATGTGCACCACTGTCTTTTTAAGACAGTTCATTCTATGTTAGTTCTGGCACATTATCAATAACCGTGTGGATGGAGATGTGTGGGCTTATAAACGGATACATGGGAGTTTTGCATTTTCTGTAAGTTTCTTTTTAAGCCTCTTGGTTTTCTTATGTATTTAGTGTATGTGTATGCATGCGCTTGTGTGCATCACACTGAGTATATGGGACCCAAAAACCAAATTGATTGTTGGTGTGTATACACCTGTTCCCCACTGAGCCACCTTGCCAGCCCTCTGTGAGATGCTGAGGAAGTCCCTTCTCAGGAACTAGCAGAGAATGGGGATGAGTGTGGAGGGGACTTTATTGCTCAGTACGCACAAGCTAGATCTCTCAAGGGTGTGGCATCATCTGATATGCCTGATGACCTTCTGTCTTGGAAACTACCGTAAAAGCAGTGCTAACCCAACTCTGAGCAGGGACGTGACTTGTCCAGTAGTATCAGGTAAGAAATAATAAGGCTAGTATTTAATCTGTTGAATAACAAAGATCAAATATGGTTTGAACCATAATCCACTGAAGTGTGAGAATTCTGTTTCTCTAAACCTGGGATAAATCCCTGAGGGTCCAAAAGCCATCCTGACTCTTGTTTGCACCAGATTCCCTACTTAAGACAAATAAAATCCCTATCACATAGCTACTAAATCTCAGGTCCTTATAAAACCCAAATAAACACCTGCAACAAAGAAGACAATGTTGTAGCTACTAGACCAAAAGATTCTCAAACATTTTGGCCTCAGAATTGTCTTATAGTCTTAAAAGTATCAAAAATCTGAAAGGAGTTCAATTTGCACGGAATACACATAGCATGTACATATTTACACAAATGCTTACAAACACACACTCACTACTCACTATGTTATAAATTAAAACAGGAAACTGCAAGACACACACACATGACATTAGCTGGCAGAGTGCTAACGTCACCTCATATAGGCTGTGCAGAACTCTGAGGTTCGCTGCAGGACAAGAGGGATGGGGAGGGAGAGAATGACTCAACACTACTGTAACAGCAATCTCAACTCATTGAAGACCCGGGGGATGCTCAGGGTGCCTGACTCACACCCTGAGAGTGGCTGTGCTAAATGCCTGTCCACATTTGGGTACTACACTATACAACAGGAACAATAACCCTCACCAGCATTTTGGAGTCTGGAGGACACGGCAGGAATATGGACCCAGGGTTTGTAGAGCATGCTTAAAGAAATGATTTGTCACTTAGGTTTCTGCCTCACAGCTTCAGATCCAGTGTTACTACCTGGTCTGGGACAGCAGGGCCAGGCCCCGTGGACACATTTTCTCTGGCCATTAGCGTGATGTCATGCTCCAACAGGAGAAGGCACCAGAAGCTAGCATGGCAGAAAGGAAGCCTCATTGGTCCTGGTGTGCCTCTTTGACTGCTTGCTCCTGTAGTAGTCTACAAGTGGGCAGCAGGTGTGAGGGGCAGTCCTGAGGAGCCTCCCTCAGCTTGTGGGGATGCCCAGCTATAGCTCAACCCAAGGGTGCCTCCAGGCAGGTTCCACTGAAGCCCTGGCCAGTTTTTCAGTCAGTTCAGTATCAATGCCTGGCAGCTTCCTGTTGAATGCTGATGTCACCCTAGTCTGGGATACCTCAGCATGCTTCATCAATCAGTGGGCCACAGCCCTAACTCTCCTCAAATTCAGTCTCAAACCCAGCTAGGGATTGAGCCTCTCCCATTCACCCCTGCAGTCTTTTCTTTGACAGTAGGATGGATGAATGAATGAATGAATGAATGGATTTAGCAGAACTAGTCTGGCAGATGGCAAGCATTCACTCAGAGTTAGTTATGCTTTCCCTTGAAAGCCTCAGCTTATTAACAAGTTGGAGTGTTTTTTCCGAGCCCTTATTAGTGGTGGCAAGGTGATACATTTTAAATGTAACATCCTGCCCTGAGTGTCCAGAGGCAGTGACACCTCAGGCTTCCTGTGCCTACCCGTCCATCTGTTCTTTGAGACCCAGTCTCATCATGGAGCCAAAGCTGGTCTCACACTTGTGATACTCCTGCCTCAGCCACTTGACTGCTAGGATTATGCTCTTTACTCACCATGTCCACCTCTATAGGAAGAACCCCTGCCACAGAATGGAAAATGCCTCACAGACTAATGAAACTGAAAACATGGAACTTTGGCCCTGCTAATTCTGCAAGGCAACAAACAGCTCCATTTCCTCCTCTGAACAGGAAAATGGCTAGCTGCTCCAGTTAAGTGGAAACATGCCTCGCCTCGGCACTGTGTGGAATCTGGACTTTCACTTGGGGAGTGTATACAGCTTGTTCACCCCACAGGCATTTCCACATTCCTTACCTATATATATCCAAAGAATCACTGGAGATGATGTCCATAAAGAGCTAACTTGCCCCTGTAAAGTCTTTGATGGGGAAGTTTTAGAGAGTGATGAAAGCCAAGGAGGGTGATATGGAGTACAGATGGAGGCCCAGGATGAGTCATGGTTCTTCGACTCTCACAGTCACTTTCCCCTGTTCTAGGCGGAATCTGCGTACCCAATTCTGCTTCAACCAAAGGCACCTCCACTTAAACAGTGTATTGGTACTGCCATCCCAGGGCAGGCCTGAAGAGAACTCTGCCTTCTCTTCACTTGCTCTGGAGAAGGGTAGTCCTAGCCTTAGGCACTCTTGCTGGGGCAGACAGACTGGAGGGCAGCAGCAGAGCCGTGAACACAGGTGAACTGCATATGATTTTAATCCTAGAAAGGCTGTGTTTTAAAAACATTAGGGCAGGTAAGAGGCAGAACAGAGCCTTAGGGCACACAGGAGAGAAAACGGTGCTTTAAAAACAGTTCACTTTTCTGTCTTTCTGTGAGTCTATGACTTGGATCTAGCTCCTTTACATAATCCCAGGTTGGAGAACTAAGAGAGCGGACTAAACCAACAAGGTCAGTGCAAAGGGCACAGGCTTCAGATACATGACCCAGCTCACTGCCATCTCTGCCATATGCAGCTTTGTGATTTAGCCAAATTACCAATCTGAGCTTCATTTTTCTTACTTTTGTAAGATGAGGATGAGAGCAGATTCCTCACAGGCTGTCATGAGAAACTGTGGGGGACACGAGCTGGATGGGGGACTGACCATACTGAAGCAGCTGGACAGTGTCAGAGCAAGAAATCCCCAGGTCTAGTCCATGGCTGAGCCCGCACAGAGTCCTCTTTCCTATTCCTTTAAAGTCTAAATAGAACAGCATGCCCATGGAGGTAGTGGCTAGTCTTGTGACTATAGCAGGCAGAATAGAAATATCACTTTCTATTAATATGATGTAACTGGAAGAGCATGACTTATGGGAAAAAAACCCCGAATTTATGAAAAACAATGAGTGGAGCCAGGTGCCCTGGGAAGTCCACAGAATGAGCTCTACTACAGCCCAAAGAAGAGCGAAAACCCAGTGTCATGGGTGCTGTAATTATACAGATAGGTTTTGCCAACACTAAGCATCAAGAGAGGTAGAAGCACAGGGAATGCCTCTGCAACATGGCAAAGGTATGCAGGGTTAGGTGTGGCAGAAGCTAACCCCGACTGGCCACTGCAGAGGAGTTCTTCTGTATAGTGGTTCCCCAAGACCTGCCATCCCCAGTCCTACACCTGAGCTCAGTTAAGGAAGCATACTGTCCCTCTTCCCTGCTGCCCCTTCTGAGCAAGCTGTCCTGACATCCATAGCTAGACCCACCAAGGACTGTAACAGTCACAGTATGAACTAGGAGCTGCTCCTGATGTTAACTCAAAACTGAAACCGTTTAAGACTAACGGCTGAGTTTCTGAGAATTATGTTGGAATTTTGATGGGAACTGTATTCAATCTGTAGATGGAGTTTGGTAGTGTGGTGGC